GGAGACGAATACATTCATAACATAGAAGTTATGGGGAGAGTACAGGGAGACGAATACATTCATAACATAGAAGTTATGGGGAGAGTACAGGGAGACGAATACATTCATAACATAGAAGTTATGGGGAGGGTACAGGGAGACGAATACATTCATAACATGGAAGTTATGGGGAGGGTACAGGTGGACAAATCACATTCATAACATAGAAGTTATGGGGAGAGTACAGGTGGACAAATCACATTCATAACATAGAAGTTATGGGGAGAGTACAGGTGGACAAATCACGCAGAGCAGCAGCTGCGGCTGATATTGAGGCCAGTATCGTGATCGCGAGATCACACACAGATGCAGCATCGTGCGCTTCACGCTCCCTACACCCCGCCACGCGCTCTGCATCCGTCTCACACACTCACGGTGGTCGAGCGAGTCCGAGACGTCGAGACACTTCCTATAGTTCATCGTGAACCGCTGATTGTCGATGTCGAAGTTTGTTCCGGGTCGCTGGCACGCGGTGATGTTCGACTGTGGGTGGTCGCAGCGGCCCGTGAACTTCGTCTCATACTCATAGATGAACTGCCACACTCCTTCGAAACTCTCCCTGCAGTTGAGCGTCTTCGGCGACTTGGCTGTAATTATGGCGGCGATTCGAAATCCGTGGGGTTAACAATCGTGATCGGTTATTCGTCGTTTCGATCGATATGCTGTTGGTCACGATTTGACGCGGCGTTTCGCGTACAAATATCAACTAAGCGCTATTGGGGAAGGATGCAAACAACATTTAGTTTCGCTATTATATCTAACTTAGGTATAGGTATCTAACAGGTATAAAAAATATATCAGTACCTAGTCAATTCATTTTTTTTCTTAGCACGCACAGCATGAGATTTGCTAGTTGATTTTTACGTTAACTGCAATGAGAGCAGTACTGTGACATCGTGGCTATGGCTGTGGGTTTGCGGCTTACCAAACATGGTGGCAAGCGTCAAGCCCTCAGATGCAATCTCACTGCATAGGTATTCCATCGACAGTTCCTTATCTGACCGCTGACACGTTGCTGCAAGGACACGTATAAAATCCACTATTACAATTATGTAATGCAGAAATTTACGAAGAATTAAAACAGCAGAAATACATGAAAACCTCAAACAAATCAGTTCAGTGCAAGATTTTACAATGCAAAAAAAGTAAATATAATAATATATTCATACTTTCTTTTTTCTCTAGAACGTTCTGTGTCCTATAGTACAATGCCACACATGTCTTGCACTTCCTACAAGAAAAATGACTATACATTACAGGTCAAACATATACGAACACAATAATTCTAATCAGTACATCCTCATGACTGCTGTCAAAAATCTTTTTTAAGATTTGTAGCCGAGAACAAAGCATAAATTATTAAATATTTACTTAGCTATTGCCAAGAATTCACCTTCCCTGTGGCAATTAATACAATACCCTCGCCAATGATTTACCTAGCCACTGTTAACGATTCACCTATCCACTGTCAAGAAATAATCTACCTATCTACAGTAGTGATTGATTTACCCTCGTCATGAGTAATTTTTAAGTAACCACCTACCCACCGTCAAGGATTCACCTAATTATTATTGGGGATGCAACTATCCTGTATCAAGAATTCACCTAATCATGATCAAGTATCCACCTATATGTTGCCAAGGTTTCACCTAATAATTGTCAAGGATTAACCTGCCCACTTTTCTATGATTTGTTTAATCGTTGTCAAGAGAATCACCTACCCACTGTCAATGATTCACCTAACCATTATTGGGGATTAACCTACCCATTGTCAAACAGGAAGAAGTTTCTGTAGACCGCATCGCTGTCACGATATTTCATGTCTATACACTGGCCCTTGTCGCTCATATCACGCTCCTCTATGGTGTGATAATTGTCTGCACCATTCTCGTATGAATACCTAATAATAATAAACATTGCAAAAAAAATTGAGGAATAACGTTACTTGTCATGATGTAACAAACACAGTAATTATGATGTGATAAATTATACATTTTTCACAATTCATGTTGTTCTTCAAGAATTTTAAATTGTCCTAATTTTAAATGGGAATTTTTGTTATATCAGTATAGAAGACACCTATTGCCTATAGGACATAGACAGGTGCCTATTTCCTCTACCAAAATTGATCGACAATAACTTTGTCAATTACAATCTTAGGTGTGTCTGAAACTATTGGACAAATTCATTCATCGATTTATTCATACACACACACTCTCGTTCACATATATATATACCTACCACTGCCCCTGCATCAATACAGGTATGACACAGCTGGTCTGTAGCTGTTGGCTCCTTTGGCCCTGTTGACCTTGCTGGCCCTGTTGGCCTGACCAATCCTGTTGACCTTGCTGGCCCTGTTGGCCTGACCAATCCTGTTGACCTTGCTGGCCCACTTGACCTTGCTGACCCTGTTGGCCTGACCAATCCTGTTGACCTTGCTGGCCCTGTTGACCTGACCAATCCTGTTGACCTTGCTGGCCAAATTGACCTTGCTGGTCAAATTGACCTTGCTGGTCAAATTGACCTTGCTGGTCAAATTGACCTTGCTGGTCAAATTGACCTTGCTGGCCCTGTTGGCCTTGCTGGCCCTGTTGACCTTGCTGGCCCTGTTGACCTTGCTGGCCCTGTTGACCTTGCTGGCCCTGTTGACCTTGTTGGCCCTGTTGACCTGGCCAATCCGTTTGAGCTTGAGGGCCCACCTGGCCCAGCAGGCCCTGTTGGTCTTGCTGGTTCACTCCAGGTATTTGTCCATCTGTAGTTAGCAACAATGTGTTAATTAAGGAGCACATTTATCTAGTCACCAATAACTACTAAGTAAACTAAGATCTCTACTATTAAAGATGTGGGGGGTCATAAAACGTACATCTACCTGTCTACTACCCAACTATATAGTGAACTATAACAGAACAGATCGCAGCAACTGGCAGCTGGATCGTCACCTGGTGGGGGGAGGGGGCACTCACGTATAAGGAAATACGGGATGTGCTGCTGGGATGGGTGACCTTTTCAAGAAAGATCCTTAGACATGGGTCCCATTTTCACACACACAAAAACAGAAAGACATTCAGAAGACATGTCGAACAAACCATTTTACCCCCGGATTTCACCCTTGAAATGAAAAAGCATTTATTTTCATACAAAAATCCTTAGACATGGGTAGGGCTACCTATTCACAGCACAAGGGCCCTTAGATACGGGTAAGAGTTTAAAGCCTCTCACACCTCCGTCTAAATATAACCGAAATACCCCCCCCCTTGGGGATCTTCTACAATCTATACATGTGTGTGTGTGTGTGTGTGTGTGTGTGTGTGCGTGTGTGCGTGCGTGTGTGTGTGTGTGTGTGTGCATGTGTGTGTGTGCATGTGTGTGTGTTTTTGCATGCTGTAGCATAAGAGTGGTGGGGCAAAATTCGTCCCACTGCAAGTGATCCCAGTCTGTAGTTTACGCGTATAGCACCTCTTCAAGTAAGCTTCATGCAACTTGTACAGCTAAAGAACAGACAGATTTAATTACACACATTTCTGGTTAAGCAATGTATTCTTCCATATCATGACCGGGTTTTACAAGTGAACAACGTCGAAGTGTCTCGGCATGCTGCGATAAGAACCATGGTAACGTGTGGCGTACCATGTTACTAGCTAATCTTTTTCTAAATAATATCAAGAAGATATTAAAAGCTAGCCATATTGCACATTAAAAGGATCAAGGAGTCGTTGTGACCCTGCAAATGTGTTTTCGCATATGTGCTAAACTAGGCTTGGGTCCATTAAAATGCTATTAATTTAGGTATTCTTACTATAGTATTACAGACCTGTCAAGTCTCACGCATTCGCCGTGAGTCTCACGCATTCAGACGCCGTCTCACGTTCTCACGCAATGACAAGGAAATCTCACGCATTACAAATAAAATCAGTTTCTAAAAAATATTATCGTAGTTTTGTGGTTTGGGCTAAATATCCATCAATTTTTATGGGATAACATCGCCGCTAGCCTCAATATATACAATGAATATGAACAGATGAAGACGTGACGGCAATCTAATCGGAGCATTTGTGGTTTGAGCCAAAATTTATGATAGCTGCTGGGAAAAAAACACATATTTCGAGGCAGAAAAAGTGTCAAAATATGCCTCCCAAATAGCAGGAGAACGAATTTCAAGGCTTCTAGAAATAAAAATCAGATAGTTACCTCGGGTAGGTACATATTATAAGTCATTATACGACAACGACCCTTCGTGCTATAATACTGCCACCCTAGTTTAGAACCCCGGATTATTTTAGCATATATGTGAACTATATTAATATTATTATTATACACCGGGGTCCCAAACTAGGTTCGAGTAGACCACTTACTGACTTAGGTTACGTACAGCACTAGGGGCCTACTCAGTGTCACGGACGTTAGTACGTTAAATATAATTAAATTATAAGTTATGCTGCTACCGATCTACAGCTACATCACGTAAAATGTCTAAAATACAAACAGCCAGCAACATTATTTCCCCCGCACAAACCTGAGAGGTGGCAGAGAAACGCGATGAGAGCGAGAGCTTGGAACAAACACTTTCTGGGTTCCGCCATGTTGTTGAAAGTTTACAGCGGCCGTTGCGCACCTTGATGACGTCACGTACAGGTGTGGCGCAATGAATAGACCTGTGCGCGCTAGCTAGGGGTTGCAAGAACAACAAGATGAATCGTCACTGTCTACGTAATTATTCGGGCCATGTATAACCGATATATCGACTTCTATATCGTATATAATATTGTCGAATGAATTGAATACGATAAAACACACGATGACAATACAATTTCAACAAATAAGTCAATTGCAAAACACGCAGATGGCTGATCTGGGATTTTAGAAGCGGGCGCCACAATACCATTCTTTATATTTGGTAGTAAGCACCCAGCGCTACATTGGCATGCGCCAAGACTATTATCACAACAAAATAACACTCGAAACACATCCAAAACACCCCGTCAAGTTAATTCTCAATTTCTCACACACATTCACTAATATATGTACATGGTACACAGGACCATGGTACACAGGACCATGTACTGTATGTGCTAGTTCGCACATATTTCTTTTCATTGTCTTCGCGATGCAAGTGTTTGGTGAGACCATATATATATATAGTATTATATATATATATATATATTATATGTCCATATGACCATATATAATGTCCATATATATATATATATAGTTACGTACATGTATACACAGCTTAGTTTGCACGCGCCAGCAGTATTAGTCACGTGGAACTGGTCCCCAACAGGTCTACCGATTAGATAAGAATATTACCCGCAACATAACCGCCGACTAAACCGGTGACTCGAACTCTATATTTACCTGACTCCCGAAGATACAAAAGGTCGCTCTCAGATTGTTATTATAGTAGTTTTCAATGACAACGTCTTGCTAAGCCATACATTCATTATACGTACCAAAAACTCAGTCAGCTGTAATTGTAGAAGTGCACCGAGGTGACCATTAATTCGACGGATAACAAGGAAAATGGGTAAGGAATTACAGCATATATTTTTAATTTATACACAACATACCTATATATATATATAGGTATCCCTATTATAGGTATTACTATATATACTTCTGATATATATATATATCATATATAAATATATATACTGTTAAGATACGTTTACTGTAAACGCAATAGCATAAACTTGTATGTAACGTACTTACGCATGTACGTGTGTTGTTATTGTTAGTAACGTATGTAGCATCATGAACGTTGTAATTCAATACTCTGCCAAAAACTTCCTATCTTTCTAAGAAGTTCCACAAGAAATGTTTCTTATTATTCTTGCATGGTTCTCTAGCGAAAAACGCGAAAGTAATAAAATCATTTTTGACTGTGCACGTGTTCATGGTAGTTTGCGCGATACGTGGATAGATAGTTTTGCGGGTACGATATAGCCATGAATATATAATAGTATATGCGCGTATATATAGTAATGAATATATGAGTGCGTAGTAATATAGCTAATGAATATATAACTAGTATATGTGCGTGCGTGAGTTCGTTCATGCATGCATGCGCGCGTCCCTGTGTGTGTGTGTGTGTGCGTGCGTGCGTACGTGTGCTAGTGTGCGGGGGGAGCGCGCTGGCTGCGTAGCTGTGCCGTCGCGTGTCCCGTTGTGTATGTGTGCCGCGTGCGTTGGTGAGTGTGTGCGTGCGTGCGTGTGCCGCGTGCGAGCGTGCGTGGCGTAGGTGCGCGTAGTGGTGCGTGTGCGCGTGCGTGCGTGCGCGCGTGCGGTGTGTGTGTGTGTGTGTCGTGCGCTGCGTTGCGCGCGCTGTTTTGCTGTTTTACCGCTGCCGGCCTTGTGTGTGTGTTGTCGTCGCTGCGTGCGTTGTGCGTGCGGTTTGATGTGTGTGTGTGTGTGTGTGTGTGTGTGTGTGTGTGTGTGTGTGTGTGCGCGCGCGCGTGTATGTGTGTGTGTGTGCGGAACTTCGATTAATCGATAATTTTATGCAATAAACTCTTAGTACATGGGTCTACACACACACCTACATGTAAACTATTTTGTGAGGATTGTTGGCTGGTGAGCCTACACTGCGTTTATAACTACTTATTAGTTTGGCGATCGGTTTGTTATGATTATTTTGATCAACATATCAGAACAAATCAAACATATTTATACCTAACTTTAAGAGCTACTGATAGTAGGCCCTACTATCATTCTTCTAACCCAATATATAAGTTTTGTTCGATATCTGTTGATATAATCGAATAAATAGCCCGATATTCTAGGTAGGTACCGCGAGTCGCCCAAGTTTACAACCACCGGCGATCGGTTTGTTATGACTAATACTAATACATACAAAAACGGTACCTGTTGCTAAAAATCTCAACGTGACAGAAAGCCTTTGAATAGGCTTGATGCTGTCCCGCATTGGCGTATCTTGGCGAGTTATATAAGGCGTTATAATTCGCAAGATATCCTGAAAATCTTCCCTGTCCAGACGGTGGAATTGCCGGAATCTCTCAGGGTCTTCTGAGTTCTGTGTCCAATTCCCGGAGGAGATTGGAACACACCCCAAAGCGCTGTCGCCGTAAAATCCACCGTCTGGCCCATCTCTCCCTCTTTGATGCCCTAATTCTGCGACTATGTCTACGCCAAAGTAAAAGAAATAATCTCTTCATCTTCTGACGCAGACGAACTGTCGCTATCCGCCATTTTCTACAGTCACGTGATCATTCCTTGAGTAATTTTACTCAACGTTTGCGGCGGACGCTGAAAAAATGACGCGTGAGTAAAATGACTCATGCGTCATTTTACTTGAGTACAGTGGCGTAGACAGGTCCTCAGTTGTGGGGGGATGATTTCGCTGTTACTTCCATCGCAATGTATATGAAGAGTGTGCGCTAGTAGCGCACACCGCGAGCGCCTTGGCCCAAAGCGTGGGTGGAATCCAGGGGCACGCTGGGGCACGCTCTAGGGCCCCTGGCAGGGTACAGGGGCAGAGCCCTTGCCCGGGGTCCAGGTGGCGGAGCACCCGGAAGCTCTTGGATTTTAGCAATTTAGAACCTTCAAGATGGCCGTTTTTGAAGGAATTGAAAAAAATTGATATTGTAAGTGCAATTTTCTGAATTCTAGGGTAATTTTTTTCTTTGGATTCCAGAGGTTTAATAACACGCAAGCCCCCCTCCCACACACAACCAGTGCGGATCCAGAAGAAAATTCTAGGGAGGGCGAATCATGCGAGCTCAAGGGCACGAAGCGCCCTCGGGGGGCAGGGGGCGGAGCCCCCGGAAGCTCTTGGATTTTAGCAATTTAGAACCTTCAAGATGGCCGTTTTTGAAGGAATTGAAAAAAAATGATATTGTAAGTACAATTTTGTGAATGCTAGGGTAATTTTTTTCTTTGGATCCCAGAGGTTTAATAACACGCACCCCCCCTCCACACACACACAACCAGTGGCGGATCCAGAAGAAAATTCTAGGGGGGAGGGCGAATCATGCGAGCTCAAGGGCAC